CTTGCCAACTATACCAAGGTCCTGTTCCCACCAAGGGTTACCAGAGAAGGATTTGAGGCTGTTGTTGTTAAAATAAATGTCTTTTACTTAAGAAAATGAATCTCATACAAACAATACTGACGCATTCACACATTCAATCAAGTTCCTTAGAAATACAGTATTAAATTAAGCACAATTGCATTAGCAGGTGGGGATGATGATGGGCAATACTCATCTGTCTTCTAGGTTGGATGTTCCAATGAAGAATGGATGGGGAGAAATAGAAACTAAAGGGAGTTCACACACGACCAGAACCAGCCAGAACGTGTGGGTCTCTTGACTGCAGATCAAGAGATCAAAGTAGAGGCAAGGGTTTGGGGATAGCAAGTGGGACTCAAGAGGAGTAAAAAGCAGACAGGGGTTGTTGCGGGAGTTGCTAGCTAGGAAGGGCCAGGTGAATGGTCCTTACCTTTTATAGGGGATCCATTAGGTGGGTGGTAACTGTTCCAACCCGTGGACCCACCTACCTGTTAAGGTAAAGGCTCCCTTGCTCAAAAGCCAGTCGAGTCCGACTCTAGGGTTGTGGTGCTCATCTCCGTTTCAAAGCCGAAGAGCCAGCGCTGTCCGAAGACGTTTCCATGGTCATGTGGCCGGCATGACTAAACACCAAGGCGCACGGAACACTGTTACTTTCCCACCAAAGTGGTACCTATTTATCTACTTGCAATTTCTTGCTTTTGAACTGCTAGGTTGGCAGGAGCTGGAACTAGAGACGGGAGCTCACTCTGTCTTGTGGCACCTGGGTCTTTAACTGCTGAACTACTGACCTTCCACAGCCTGCAGTTCAGCGTCTTAACCACTTGAGCCACCGCAGCTCCTAAAAGAAGTCTTTTAGGCTCCTGCTTATTTTATCATGTTTCTTAGCCATCTAGAATTTTACCTGTCTGGACAGCAGAAGAATACCTCAAGTGAACAGAACCAGCTTCCTTCTTTGGTTGTCAGAACACAGCATTTGGCTTTAAGGAAAGGTATGCATTCTTTTTGATAAATATATTATATCTATGTCGTAAGGCTTGAAGTGACATAGTCATAACTTGTGACTGCTGCTTTCACTTCTTCTACCTCAGTTTAGTGCCATATTCATTGCACTTAGGAAGGGGAAATGTGCCACTAGAAAAATAAAGAATGCCCTGCAGCCTGCTATCCCCTGTGGAGCCGTCATGTTCTGATATTTATGAACTTAATTTCCCCCATGACACCTCTGGGCAGCATCCCAGCACAACCTAGGATTTCCCATCAGTGTAAAATATCTTTCTCTTCCCAAGGTCATCTCTGTGGCAGCATTCCTAATAAATGGTTGAGCTCAAATCTTTGGTGTGTTACATTCTCCCAAACGAACTACTAAAGCACATTATTTGAGGGATCTCCCTTCAGGTACTGCATTACAAACTACTTTGCATTTCCTCGATCCTTGAAACAGATGAGGGGACTGAGCAGACATTTGAAGTTCAAATGGAGCATTATGTCATAAATATACTCATAAGATTTCTTTACAGTGTCTTAGTGTTCAATAGAAATGCTGCAATTGGATTGGGTTTTACGCGGTTCCTGTTCTACTTTAAAATGGATTGGATGAGAGTTCAAAGTTGAAATGCAGAATAGCATCAGAAACATGCTCATGGACTTTCATTCTGATATCTCAGATTTCAAGGCAGATGTCCACTGCTGTGCATTTTACATCTGTTTAAGCTCTGCTGAAAATAGCTGTGGAGGCTGAAATGAAGTTTGGACTTGAAACATAGCATTGGTTTCTACTGCTCCGTTTTGCTAATGGTGGCACTTTGTACCTGCACAAGTAGCCTTCCCCTGACAGAATATGCTTTGCCACTGTTGGAAGAGTGTCATGCATCACTGGTAGCATCCTTGACTAGGATCAGAGCGCTGTCATTACGAGAATGAGTCATTTGATCCAATCTATAGAATGGTGTCCGCAAAACTCCATTAAAGAGATTTTGCATCTTCCTTTCTTCTTTGAAAATGAGCAGGTGGTCAAGCTGATATTTAAAGATATTTTATTTATTTATTTATTTCTTCAGCTTGCTACCCCACTCTAACCCCCGAGGGGGTCTCTGAGCGGCTACAGTTATCTATTATCCATAACCTATGGCCACAATGTATTAGGGGTGGGGACATCCCTACCAGCACCCAGTGGAGGGGGTTGTTCTTCTTCCTCGGGTCGGCTTTTCTCCGGTGTCTTCAGCTGCGGCTTCTGGCTCCTTTCTTTTGGCGATCCCGTTTCGGTGGTGGGTTCGCCCGGCCTTCTGCCACGCGGCAGGCATGCTTGGCACAGTCATGGCTCTGTCCTCGTGGCTCCGCCTCGCCTGCGCCGCCATGCTCGTGCGTCGTCCCAGCTCCGCCTTCTCCATTTATCGTCAGGTTCGCCGTTGATGTCTCTGGACTCCATTTTCTGCCGCTCGCTGCTGTCGCCGTCCGCCGTCCGCCGAGCTCCGGCCCTCCAACAACCCCCAGGATGGGGGAGGGTGCCCCCTACCATCTAAGGTAGGTCCCCATTTATCTACTCGCGCTTATTTTGATATTAATGGAGCTTTCGAACTGCTGGGTTGGCGGGAGCTGGGACAAGGGCCAGGCGCTCAATCTGGCCACGGTGGGTATCAGACAACTGTACAGCTGTTCGTAGATGTTATTAATAGCAGGCAATTAACCGCCTGCATCACCGCTCAGCAAAATTACCTTTCATCACTCCCCTCACACTCAGCTGTTCGTAGATGTTCGTAGATGTTATTACAGCTGTACAGCTGTTCGTAGATGTTCGTAGATGTTATTAATAGCAGGCGATTAACCGCCTGCGCCACCGCTCAGCAAAATTACCTTTCATCACTCCCCGCACTCAGCAAAATTACCTTTCATCACTCCCCTCACACACCTACACACATCCTCCTATCAGAACTCAACTAGAGGCTTCTTCAGGACACATTAGTACACTCTTGCAGAGCTTGGAAGCAAGCAAGAAACATGAGACAATCTCTTGTGGAGTCACCTCAAAGGTAATCTCCCAGAGGGAGGAACAGAGCATGGCTCTCTCAGCCTCTTCCAAGCCTTCTCATGGGCATGCAAATCATAGCTGAATAATCTTTTAAAGGAAAAGCAAGAGTCCAGTAGCATCTACTGGGAGCTGCTGTTAAGCCTGGGCCAAATCCAGTTTGCTGAAAACCGTTGCACTGGCCAGTGATGCCAAGACATGGCCAACCCCAGAACGGGATAAGCGTGGTCCTGAAGGGCCTTATTAAAGGTGCATTTGTAGTCTGATAAATACAAAGAGACCTCCCAGTTGCGAAGAATCCAAATTACAGAATGAACCAGGGAAAATATGCAAAATATAAATTTATACAATGTGAAAATAATAAATGAAGTACTACATACATAAATTTACCAAAAGGTTACATTGCCCATTGGAAACAATGGGAGGCTTGAAGGCCCACTGGAGATAATGGGAACCAGGAATTGACTTGCATGGCCTCCACTGAAATACATTGCAGCACAAAATAAGTTGCAAAGAAAATGTGGAATGGTTTTTCCATTAAGGTGCTTGGGCCCAGATAAGCTACTCTGGGACTGGAATGATGGCCTCCAGAGTGGAAAGACAGTCCCTAGGAATAGAATCTGGCTCTGGGACTAGACTAACAGCCCCCAGAGTGGAATTATGGTCCTTAGGAAGAGAATCTGTGTTTGTGTACTGGAATGACAGTCCCCAGAGTGGAATGATGATCTCTAGCAATAGAATCTGTGCTATGGGACACTGGAATGACAGGACACCTACAGGCTTTTCTGTGTTGTTGCCCTCCTTACTTTCAAATTTGTGACCATTTGTTTGTCCCATGCACATGGTATGTATATTTGCAGATCTTAAAGTGACTATTCTAAAAGTGGATTTAAATAAAGGAAACAGCAGGAGACTGCTGAGATACCAGTATAACCACTGGCCAACTCCCACCTTTTCCTGGGTTTAGCCCAGCCCAGGGGCCAGGCTAGGGAAGTTCCCAAGGGTTCCCAGCCCCCCCTAAATTTCTGGAGAGCCCTTCCTAAATCCAACATGGCTCCGCCTCCATAAATAGTGACAATGGCCTGTGGTGTCACTGACTCCTCACTGTGACGTCACTGGGCCTTCGTTCTTTTAAGGACCTAGCACAGCAATGCCACTGGCCCAGCCCCAGCCCACCTCCCCCGAAATTGGAAAGTCTACGCCCTTGTTCCCTTCAAATGAAGGGTGTAAAATATGGGTTATCTCATGAAATACTGGCTCATTCAGTAAACTTAGCTATCATCCATTGCAAAAGAAGGACAAAGAACATTCTGAATTTCTCAGTAATATTATCTTCCTCTACACCATTCCAGATGATCTGCTTCAGCCCTTAGGGAATAACTGTGATTTGCGGGAGTGGGTATACAAAGGGGATAATTCAATTGACAATTAGTTAATTATTTAGTCAAACTTTGCACCATGGTACAAATTCATTAAAAAGACCATCTTAGAGCCCCTTACTTGGTTGATATCACAGCATATAATCATAGAATGGCATTTACTTCGTTGTGCTTCCAAACAATGCCAACTGAGCTATTTACTGTGTGATATTCCAAAAAACAAAGGAACAATGCATTTGTATATGTGGAAGTTCAGTAGAAGATCTTCTCCATTATGTTTTGGGCAGTCCTTTATATTTAGAGACCAGGAATAAATTCCTGGCTAGGGTCCTAACTACTCTATAATTTCTTTCTGATTTTGACAAATTATCTTATATGTTATCTGATGTGGATTCCTCTGTGTCCTGTAAGATGCCACTTTTTTTTTTGGCCCCTAGGAATATTAGAGCAAATGTGGTTTCCAAGAAAGTATCTAATAGATACTTTTGTAATTTTTGGGTTTGATTGAGAATTGAGAAATTTTAAAGATGCTTGTAATTTTAGAATTTAATTTTTTGGGCTGCTAATGTTTTAATGTGTAAACGCCAATGGCCATATACAATAAAATCTTACTACTACGACGACAACGACAACATGTCTCTAAGGAGAGTTGGGGCCTCTGTGTTAAAAGGAGGGGAAACTGGAAGTTAAGAGGGTCAATGTACCAGCTAATTTGAGAACTAGTGTCTCTTACGATGAAATCAAATATCTGAAATCATGCAGAAGCATTGGAGCATGAGATGGGTAAAATCTGGTGTGTGATCCCTTCCCGTGTAGGTGTAGCTGCATTCATGCGCCATTCTTGGTGACACAATTATCCAGACCAAAAGGCACATATATTCATCCCTCTCCTTCCAAATTTAAGTAATTTGTGTGCCAGGGTCAGTAGGAGATGATGAATAGCTGAATGAATGTACAGATGGTGCATCTGGCCTCTATATTGAGTAATGGATGGCATACCATACTGTGTATGTCTGTGCGTGCCACGAGCAGGCTGGAAAGTGGAAGAAGTCTCCATTTAAACCCAGTGCAAAATGGGGGGGGGGACAGCATGTTATAGTGGGGGGTATTGCCTTTCTCAAACTGCTTAGGATCCAAGCCATTATTTGCTTCTTCTTTTTTTAAAATCTTATTTTGATAAGTTGGGGTTCAGCATATGAGGGACACACCACAGTAAAAATAAATGTGATAGTTTGTTACCAAACACTGTATTCTCTTAATTTCCCTGAATGCTCTCTAAAGCACATCACCTGAAGCTCCTCCTCTGTAGTCAACAGGGATCCTCTGTAAACCCCCATCCTGTATATCCCTTATAAGGAATTGACTCTAAATTACAATAATCACTACATTATAAAAATGCTCAGACAAAGAGTAGAAAATCTCTTTTGATTTTGATATATTTATATGAGTATCTGGGAAGTCAAAGGTAAATACAAATTAATCTTCTATTTAGGGTTGCCAGCCTCCAGGTGGGGCCCAGAGATCACCATAAATTACAACTGATCTCCAGATTTCAGAGATCAATTCCCCTGGAGAAAATGACTGCTTCAAAAGAGGCATTGTACCCTGCTGAGGCTCCTCCCCTTCCCTAATCTCTGCCCACCCCAGATCCCACCCCCCCAAATCTCCAGGAAGTCCCCAACTTAGAGCTGGCAACCCTACTTGAATTACCTATGCCTGAAGTGTAGTCATTTGGAGAAGGTATGTCGCTTAGTGGAAATCGGAGTCGATAGGCAAAGTTATCCTGAAATATAACGCCAATGATGCCTTCATCCTTCTTGTGTGCTTCTTCGATTGCTTTTTCATCTTCCATGAGTTCAGTTCTTATACCTTAGGTATGGAAATGCTGTAGTTATTATAAGGAACCCCATGTAGACAGACGATAGACAAAAGCTTCTTGTGCACAAAGACTGCTTGCTACACCTGTGTAACACTCCAGCCCCTGCCCTGTCAGCATTATAGGAGGTGACAGAAACAAGAGTCTTTAAGCACAAAGCATGGAGGTTCACTTACTGCTTCAACCTTCCTTCCCCCCCCCTTAAAACCTAGCTAATTGGGGGTTGACAGTCTGAAGTGCTGTTTTTGCTACTGCCTCCCCCATCTCCACTCTTGCCTTCTTGTTCTCTTCCAGCCCTCTAGCGATTGCACCGTTCATTGTTGTGCCATTTTCTCCTTTCAGGGTTTTTAAAATCTCCTTTCTAATGCAGACCATGATCTTGTGAAATCTGCATCAGCATTTCTATTTGTAGTTGCAAAATCTGCACCTCACTTCTCACTTTCAGGAGGAGTTAATTTTTTTTTAGAACTTTTCAGATTTTTCTGCAAATATAGAGGTTTTCCTGGATTTGCAAAAGAAATCTTTGTCTGTAAATGGCCAGAGAAATGCTATATTTTTATTTATCTTCCGTGGCCATTGTTCAGGAATAAGAGCATGGTTTTAAGGTGGGCAATTCCTTTAATATGCACTGACCAAAATAGTAGGCTCACATAATTCAGTCTTGCATGAGAAAGGAAGAAGGTAGCAGGAAAATGCTTATATCATTTGAAGGTTTATTGAATCTATGGCTGTGGTCACACTGGCGGCTTGGCGTGATATGGTGCCACCTCTAATTCTATCGGTTTAAGGTGTTGTGGGGCATATCATCCGGACAGCACACCTTCCTGTGGGTTACCCACGCAGACATCCCATGATCAAGCATCCACATTACTGCAGCACCTCAGCCACAGAGCACACTGTCTGGAAATTTTTCAAAATGCATGTGCGCGCATGTGTGCTCATGCGTGTGCATGCATGTGCATATGTGCATATAGGCAAAAAAAATTAACTTGCCCTAGCAGCAGGTTCAGACTGCCAAATCCATTCTGCACGTGCTCCCCCACATTCAAACATGTGTCCATGTGCAATGAATGTGCGGGGAACCAAAAACACCACTTGTGATGTGGTGCCTTTTTAACTCAGCCGATGAACACCTGACAGATGTGGTTGTGTGACTGCACCCATTTAATCCAGAGGGGAGGGGTGGCTGCGTCAGGCCAAACTGCTTGTGTGATCACAGCCAATGTAATTAAATTTCTAAGGGCAAGATCACATATGCATGGCAAAGTGCAAGCACACTGAAATTCAGTAGTAAATCAGAGCTCCTGCATGACCATCAACTAGTTCAAAAGCCCTATACAGATGAATTTAAAATTGCTTTGTAATGTCTCTTATGATAATTAAGCAAAATCGGGAGTATTAGAAGCTCACTTAACATGGTGGAGGGTGTGAAGTTCTCAACAAGCTTTGTAGGACTGCTTTCCCCCCTGCTGACTTACTAAACAAAGTAGACACATCTTTCACCAGTAAAGGTGTGTGTGGAGGGCGGGGGTACATTACAGGTGCTTAAAGGCCTTGAAGCTGGAAAATCATAGCATTCTCCCCATAATAACAATAATTCCTGACAATACTAAAAACCTAGCTGTCACAGGTGCTCTCCCTGCAAGCTACCTAAAGGCAGAAAGTCTGTCTGGGAAGACAGATAACTTAATGGTTTTACAGAATGATTTTAAAATCTATTCTATGCATCCATCTTGATGAAGAGTTCTAGAGAACTCGGAAGCTTATATATTGTATCATTCTGCTTGGTTTTAATAAAAATTAAGAACATAAGAGACACCAATGTTGGATCAGGCCAAAGGCCCATCCAGTCCAACACTCTGTATCACACAGTGGCCAAAAATACCAGGTGCCATCAGGAGGTCCACCAGTGGGGCCAGGACATTAGAAGCCCTCCCACTGTTGACCCCCCCCCAAGCACCAAGAAGACAGAGCATCACTTGCCCCAGAGCCCCTATCTATACCTTGTGGCTAATAGCCACTG